GCTCAAGTCAACTTAAGGGGAAAGAATACTTTAAATCCACAACAGGAAAACTCACTTGGAGGTTGTATTTGTGATGGGAAGCAGGGAATACAGAGCAACAGTCATCTGTTCCTGCCTTCCAAAAATGGCAGTGGGGAACTGGGCAGTGTGGCTAAGCCCTAAGTCTAACCATGCTTCACTTCTGATTTGAGACAGGAGTAGCCAGTTGTTGACACCTGCTGAGAGCTATATATGGTGCAAATATCTAAAGTACAAATCTAAAAAAAAAAATTATAACGTTCTTGCAATCATGAAACATTTTATTTTTGTCACACAAATTGTTTATTATCTGAGTAGCTATACTGAATCTTCCTTATGAATGGTTCCATGATATTTCAGTACATGAAGCAGTGGGAAAGAAATCTGGTTATGCAAAAGTTAGAGAATAGGAGGAGAACAGTTTAATATGTATTGGAGGCATCAGCTTCCATATAGGAATATGGGGTAAAAAAAGTCAATATGGCAGTCAATGACATCAAAGCCCCACCCTTTTTGTATGTCAAGGTCTTGTGCATGTACAAAGGGGTTGGGCTTCAGTCACACTGTCACAGCTACCATCTTTTTATTTATTTATTTATATTTATATTTCAAATTTAGTCACCATCCATCTCACTCAAGAGACACTCTGGGTGATGACTAAATCTTGCCTTTTTGACACCTCCACCCATCGATGCTAGTAATCAGAGAACAAATATCTGCCCTTAACTTTGGTGAACTGTACAGCCATATCTTTAGCAAAAACCCTATAAGAGCTGAATCTTGTCTTAGGCTGGCAAAGTCTGATGTTGAATTTAAAAAAAGAAAATATATTAGCTTAAAACTACCAGAACAGATGGAGTAAATGGTTTAAAACATAAATTTGATAGTCTCCCCTTTGTTAATTATGCACCCCTGCCCTGTGGAACACCATCACCCCTGAGATTTGCCAGGCCCCTACCCTTCTATCTTTCTGGAGAGCACTCAAGGCCTGGCTTTTCCCCCAAGAGTTGGGATAGGCCAAGGTCAGGGTGAGATGAGAATGTGAGTTGCATCAGGGAAATGTAGTTGTGACGCCAGGTTTTTCTGTTTTGGTTTATTGTTGCTGATTTTATATTGTTTTATTGCTTGTAAGCTGCCCAGAGTTGGTTTTAAGGTGGGTGGCTATACAGATGTTCTAAATAAATAAAATTGTATTGCAACCAGCAATATCATGCTTGCATTTGTTCGTGTTAACTGATCACTGGAAAGCACCAGCTGGCAATTAAATCTACTTATGAAACTTTTTTTCAGATGAAAAAGAAACTCTTCAGCTGTAGCAATTTATTTGGAAAGAGAAAGCTTTGTGAACCATTCTGTAGACTTGCCATAGACTTTAGAAAGCAAGGTATGGCAAATACACAGAATAAATGGTTTTGTACATCTCTACATTTCCTACCCATAATCAGTTCAGTTAGGAAGATTTCTAGTAAACAAGCAGAAATTTATTCAACTCAGTATGTCTTATTAGACTCACAAGACTTATTTTTTATGATGTTCCAGAACCTCATGTATGCTGTTGGCACAAAAACCTGTGAGTGTAATGGAAACTGAGAAGTCTTTCAAATATTGTGTCTGTTGGCAAAGTAAAACCAATTACTTCTGGATAAGCCAATGTACAAATTCAAAAACAGGCTTCTCCTAAAGGGGATAGTGAATCAGAACTCTCTTCTAACAAAGGATACTTTGCAGTGTGCTACCACAAATTTTCCCCGTTGTGTTTCAATTCCCCAGGCTAGCAATCAGTTGAGAATGGGGAATAAATATGATCTGCACTATCTAAAACAAACCACAGTAGTATTAATTGCATCTTTAAAAATTTCTTTTCTTAAGGCAAGTTGTATCCATGTGTTATGTGATATTTATATAACAAAAATGTTATGATCCCTGAGTGAAACCAAAATAAAGCTTACAATGTCTTCTGCAGTGACAAATGCAAGCAGACATTAGGTTGCTCCATTTAAGAGTTGAAGCAAAGGCTTGGATCCTAAAGGCTTATCCAGACTGTCAGACCTCCCTGTCCTGGAAGGTTTTGGAAGGCAGAAATGGAAAATATTGCCCTCTTTTAGTCCATTCAGGACATGTTTTTCTGCTTCACTTCTGAAATAACTTTTCCATGTTTTTGTTGCCTCTAGCCTTCCTGGCCATTTGGAGAAAATGCTTTAGTTTGTTACAGTCTAACCTGAACAGTTTCAATGGCTACTATGCAGAGGCAGGAACACCCCTTCAAATGAATCAGTGTTTCCCACGCTCTGTAATATCTTTCCTATGAATGCTGTAATAGCTCAACGTGTATAATACTTGTCTTGTAAACAGAATCTTGTTGGTTCAAAATCCAGCAGAATTTTTGTTGTTATTATTGTTACTATCCCCCCCCTCCCCCAAGCTTCCTACTTTTCCCATCAGTGCAGTGTTTCATCATATTTTTGTCAGTCACCTAATGCAGAAAGATATCACCCACAGCTCCCAAATAGCCATATGTTATTTGAGTTATTTGGGAGCTAAAGGTGAGGGAGTAAAAAAATAATAATGATGAAATTATGCACTGTTGAAATTATAAAAACAGAGAAATTTTAATTTTAAAAAGACCAAATGAGACCGTAAACGGTGTCTTCCACTGGCTCAAGGAGTCTCCAAATTTTAGGGAATGTATTAAATAGTTTCACCTTCTGTACATCAGGAGAGGAGATATTTATGAAAGATCACAATGCATTGGGAGTGTAGAGTTTAACTATGGTTTATTCAGTAAACCACACATTTATGGCTAATCACGCTGCATGAAGCAGCTAGGTTCATGAAACATGCTAAGTCATTAAGCATGGATTACTAATTACACAACATGTTAAGCCACAAACAAGCAAACCAAGTCTGTGTGGATCAGGTTAATATTGCTACAAAAGGATCAGTTGTGCTGGAGCATCTTTTCCCAAGTGAGCATGTTCTTCAACTTCCAGGATGCTTCAGCCAGCATGGCCACTGCTGAAAATTCTGGGAGTTGAGGTGCACACATGTAGATTAGATTAGATTTTTTTTAATTTCACCTTTATTATTTGTTATAAATAACTCAAGGCGGTGAACATATTTAAATACTCTTTCTTCCTCCTATTTCCCCCTTCCCCACAAAAAACAACCCTGTGAGGTGAGTTGGGCTGAGAGAGAATGACTGGCCCAAAGTCACCCAGCTGGCTTTCATGCCTAAGGCAGGACTAGAACTCACAGTCTCCTAGTTTCTAGCCTGGTACCTTAACCATTTGGAGGGTGCCTGGTTTCAGGAAGGCTGACATAGGGAATATGGTTACAAACTTCTCTGTGTACAAGCCTCCGTGCATGAGGATTCACACATGTAGTTTATTCCATGCCTAGCTGATAAATGTATAAATAGCTCTGCTCAGGATAAATAGTCATACAATATGGCTTATTGAATAAGCTATTTGATCTCCTCTTTCTCTCAAGGCACTGTAGTTAAGTGTTGAGCATGTGTTCATGCCTTGCACCATCTTTCTGCTGCAGTTTTCTTTAAAAAATAGTACCAGCTATTTAGTAAACAGACATCTAATTATTGAATTAGTTCCACACTAGATGAATTGCATTTTGAACTGCCTCACTCTAACCTTGAGAACTAGTTTATCATAGTGGTTAAGGCATCAGGCTAGAAACCGGGAGACTGTGAGTTCTAGTCCTGCCTTAGGCACAAAGCCGGCTGGGTGACCTTGAGCTAATCACTCTCTCTTGGCCCTAGGAAGGAGGCAATGAAACCACTTCCAAAATCTTGCCATGAAAACTGCCAGGACTTGTCCAGGCAGTCGCCAGGAATCAGCTGGACCTGAAAGCACAGGGAAAAAAAAGCCTAACCTTAACCTATAATTTCATTCTGAGATGAGCAATAATTTAGTGTCAGAACAGTGATATTCCTCACAATGTTAGCTCAGTGAATTAGCTCAGTGCCAGAGGTCATTGTGTCCTTTTGCAACAATTTTTGTGCCAACACTGTATGCAAAAACCAACTCATGGTTTCAGCTGAAAAAAAACCAAAAACCTCTGGGTAAGTTATACAACACAGTTGTCTGCATAATCAGAAAATGCTTCTGATTACAAAGTCCTCTGCATTCCAAATTTAAAGAGAATGTAGATCCATGCCACCCCACATCTCACATAAAGTAGTTAAGTATATTTTTCTAAATAAAATCTAGAATTCTTTCTAAACACATTTTGGAAAATAGAGAGACAGCCCAGCTAAAGAAAATGCCAGATTGAATCTCCTGCCTAAGAAATCTTAAATTGTATTCCTTCCTATGGATTCCAGGCCTTCATTTGCTTAATTATTCCTCTGAGGCTGCAGAGTATTATCCTGCAGCTCTCAGCAGCTCTGCTGACTGCAGGGACCCTAACTGACACAACAATTTAATGCGTCAGCATTCTAAATAGAAATGAATAAAAAATCCATCTGGGCAACTGCAGTAGTGGAACATGCAACTCTAACCTGCTTAATGCAGGTTTTCAACATTCCTCTGTAGACTAATCTATAAGATGGTGAGTATGCCTGTAAGAAAGCCTGCCTCTGCAGTCTGCATCTCAGATCAGTTGAAGACCTTGCATTTGTATACTAAGTTAACTAAGGTGCAAAAATGCTCATAAGATGTAAAACGGTATTTATGTTCTGTGTCTAAATACAGTCTGTTATGGTTTAATGGATACAAACAGAATAGTTCAGAATACTTAAACTAAAGTCCACTTAACCTTTAAGAACCACAACCTTTATTTATTTTTATGGTTTGGAAATGACAACTACTCTCTGAATGGACAGAGTTACTCAACAGTATATTTCATCTGGTAGTCAGTTAATTGTACAGCTAACCTCCTGACAAAGAGGACAATCCTAAAGATTTTTTAATTGCCTCTGTAATTTTACAAGCACAAAGCAATGAGCAATGAGAGAAAGATGGAACTCTAACAAACTGTATAAGGCATTACTATTTAAGATTTCCAGATGTCATCAGCTTCTTTGCAATGTGATGCTTTTGCAGTGAAGAAGATTCTTGACTATAAAAGATGAAGAGTCTACTTTTTCTGGTGCTGATTTCTTTTTGCTGGGCTGAGCATCATGCTGCTAACTTCACTCTGGAGCATGATAGAATAATTCACATCCACGGTAAGTAAAAGAAATTCAATGAACAATTGTGATACTGGATTAAAAAGGTTAAAATTTGCTACATTTACAAAAATGATTAGCTAACTTTGCTGCAGGGTTGCATTTTTATAGTGCAGTGCTTTTTAGATTAGAACTGCAGCCTGCAGTTCGGCATACAACCTTTCTGTCATTTTTGTGAAAGAAGACATAGTTACTAAAATCAAATCGCAAGCATGTTAAACACAGCAAGCAAGCGGTTAGGCTATCCGATAGATATCTGCCTACTATTGGAATAAATATGATCTAAAGCCCTTCACCAATAGACCTCCATGGCACAGAAATATGGTAATGATGGATTATTAAAACACAGTGATGCAAAAAAAGAGATCAGCAACAACTTAGACAACATAAAAAGTAGCTTACCTCCCTGGATAAATGTCTCCCCATTGCTTTGATTTCTATGAAATGCTACTTCTTAACATAATTATGCACATCCATTCAAATCCTAAAGCTTATGATTGGCTGTGGAAAGCTTTGAGGCTATAGCAGAATGCAGCTGTTTTTCAGTTCTTGCTTCAGCAATTGAGGATCATCCTGTATGAAGCAAGCCAATACATTTATTTATGCAACAGTGACAGGCAGGATAAATGTCATGTGGCTTCTCTGCTTTGTATATCTTATGTTTTGGCCATTTAAATTATACAGCCTATGGATATGCAGAGTAAAATCTGGAGATTCAGTGCAACTTAGGAAATGCTGGCTGCATTACAACCATTTGCTGTGTTGCACACTGATATCTAGAAAGAACTGTTGACTATCAGAACAGCTTTGGGAGGATCCTAAGAGACCAATAATCTCCCGGAACTAGATCTAGTTTTCCAGGTCAAAACAGAAATGACACAGATTGGAAAATAATGAAAGGTGTAGATTAAAAATGGGTCTCAATGAATTATATTATTTCTGTTTTTGTAGTTATTACCAATCTGATAATACTCTTTTGGACCATAATGTGAGCATTTCTTGTCAACTTTACAAGGAGTGTAAAACATTTTTAAATATCTCATTTTTGGAATTTCATTCTGAAAATGTATGAGTTGTTTCTGACTGTAAAAAATGTAGGAATAAAATATTTAATGTTCTGGAGGACCTTTGATTAAGGTTTGCTTATGAATATGCATTTTAGAAGGATTTTGCCATGTTAATGAGTATCAACAATGTAAGGGTACAGAAAAAAAATTCATGAGAAATGGTGAAGAATTTACCCTAAACTAAGAATGTGGCTATTCAAATACTTAAGAAAGTTCACATAGAATCAGTAAAATATGGCTCAAAAGATATGGCTAGAATTAACTGTTTTGAAGGGAGGTACATAATGATGATGGTGATGGTGATGGTGATGGTGATGGTGATGGTGATGGTGATGGGTAGTCTTTAAAGGCAAAATGCCTCCCAGAATAGTTTAACAATTGATTCAATTATTGTGGAGCATTCTCCATTTTCAAACCAACAGCCATTTTTTGTGGATGCTTCAGTCTAGATTTCCCATATTGAACAAAGATTAGATAATCTTCAAGATGCCAGCCAATACTTTAATGCTCGTTAAAAAGCTTATGCATTTCAGGTACAACTGATCATTCATCCACTCCAGAATCAGGCATAAGATAAGAAGTTCAAATATTTTCATATTCAAAACATATATACTGAATAGAGATTCATATATACTGTCACCTGGAATAACTATTACAGCACTTTCTCCAACTTGGCGACCTCAGATGGATTGAACTCAACTCTCATGGTACATGTGGGGCTACTAAAACTTATCACTATTTGTAGCTGTCACCCCTTTGGAGCATTAAGAAATGAATTTCTTTTTACCCTCTTCTATTGTTAGTTGCAATTACTGATAACATTAATTTAATTTGAACTAAGCTCATCTGAATTCTATATCAATAAATAATGAGAAGGTATTTATAGGAGATCATACATGGCAGTAATCTTTACAATAATAATCTATGAACATTATTTGGGGAATTTGTTGCAGGTTGGAGGCATAAAAGTTTGGCACAATTTTTTTCCATCTTGTGACAGAAATGAACAACCCAAGTGAAAGGGCCAAATCAGAATAAAATGACTCACTGGTTCTGTAGCTAATACCAAAGGATTTTTAGTTACAAAACAAAATTTAACACTTATAATCAGAGCAAAGACACCAGCACTTTTTATTCACTTTAGAGCACAAATCACTTAAGATGACACCATTTTGCAAAAGCCAAAATAAGCAGAAATCCAATGATTCATCTTTAACTAAAAAATATGTCCATCAATCAGGAGAAAACATGTATCAACACTATAAATTTGTATGTTGTGTTTGATAAAGTGATTTCTTCCAGTTCGTTGAAAATTTCCACGAGAAGTTCTTAGCCCTTTGGAATAGCAAATTTGTCAAATACTAGGAATCCATTAGAAAAAGGAATTAACTGCAGTCTTCTCCACACATATGTATTTGGAATTATGGTCCATTGAATATTATGAGATTTATTTCCTTGTGTCTTAGTAGGCCACAAGCTAAACATGGACCAACAGGGTGATGCAGCTGTAAAAAAGCAAATGCAATTCTAGGCTGCATCAACAGAAATACAGCATCAAAATCAAAAGAAATCATCATTTTTTTTCTATTCTGTGTTGGTCAGAACATAACTGGAATACATATTCCACATTTTAGAAGGGACACTGATGAACAATGAATGTGTCCAGACAACAGCAGCTTAGATCATAAGGAGTATGGAAAGAAAAATTAAAGAGGTTGAAAGTGTTAAATATATTTTGCCTGGAGAAGAGAAGATTGCTAGGAGACATGATAGCTAACTTCAAGTAGCTGAGAGCTGTCACACAGAAGATGGGGCAGAATTGATCAGAGTTGTTTCAGAAGACAGGACAAGAAAAATGTGTTAAAATAATAACAGAGTAGATTTTGGTTGGAAAATTGCTAAGAGCTGTTCAGATGACAGCTTGGTAGTATTTAAACAAAGACTGTGTGGCCATTTTTCAAAAGTGCTGTAGTAGAATTTCTGCACAGGGCATAAGGTTGGACAAAAGGATTCTTAAGCTCCCTTTCAGACCTTTCATTCTGTGATTCTATGAACTATGCACAAAATATGCAGATGTGTCCCAAGAGGGCACTTGTTTTTCTTTCCTTGCAGAACTGCATTTATTACAATGTGGAACAGGCCTAAATAGTGCTAGGATATGGGAATTCTATTTGTCAAGAAGCAATATGAGTCATAATAATTGCAAATAAGTGGTGTGTGTGTACACATAGACTCATTCATACTGTTGGAATATGCAACAGTTATGGTGAAGTGCCCCACGAGCTAGTAAGAACACCAGGTGGCACTGTTATTTTAGAAAAGTATGTAGAAAGTAGGGATATGACATTATCTGGATCCAGAACAGGAAAGGTGCTTCTAGTCATGGGCATGCTCATTGTTCCTGTCAGCAGCTGCATCTTTTCTCGGCTCACATGGTAGCTTTGTGGTCCCAGGAGAAAGAGTACAAGCCCTGAAAAATGTATGCCTCCTTTAAGGAACTGCTGGCAGGTACAGCAAGATTCTGATGCTGGAGCCAAAGTACTTTTCCCACTTCAGATCCAAATAGCTGCACATTCCTGCTAGAGAAACAGGAATGAGATGAAACACTCAGTTTTTCTGCTTCCTGTAACCACACCCTTCCTGTGTGCCCTTACACATATTTGTGAAGAGAAAAAAAAAGGAAGGAAGGAAGGAAGGAAGGAAGGAAGGAAGGAAGGAAGGAAAGAAAGAAAGAAAGAAAGAAAGAAAGAAAGAAAGAAAGAAAGAAAGAAAGAAAGAAAGAAAGAAAGTAAGTCCTCGTTTAGCAACCACAATTGGGACCGGCAACTCGGTTATTCAGTGAAACAGTGACTAAGAGAAACCGCAACTGTGCTTACAATCTTACTTCAGCTTTTCTTCGCTTTATAGATCTACGAAAGTCATAAATGCAAGGATTGGTCTGAAAGTTACTTTTTCATCACCATTGTAACTTCCAATGGTTACTAAACAAGGTAGTCACTAAACAAGGACTACCTGTATTATCACAAATTTTTCATATCAGTTTGTCTCTTCTATGTGTGCATAGTAACATAAGTATCTGGTGACTTGATTTTAAAGCAGTGCAGCAATCCTTGAAGGCTTTAATTTGTCAACGTTCTTATAAAGTACTATACAAGCTATAAAAGGGTCATCCTTAAAGAGTCTTAAAGTCCCATATGGTGAATTATTTCCAGAAAAGTATTTGTATTACTGTACTGTACTGTACTGTACTGCAAAACAAAGGTCATCAAGGGCAAGGTACTATCAAATGCAGGAAGCCATTCTAAACTTTCATAACTTAATTGACAGATACACATCAGGATGCTTTCATCCCTTATTCTCTGTCAAGGCCCTTTTCTGGACAAGTTTTATTGCTTCTTTGGTGTTGCAAAACTCCAATCATTGTGTCTAACTAAATACAGAGCCTTTTTTCTTAACGTCGATTCCACCTCCTTACCACTGTCCCATTGTAAATGAATAAACCTTTCCACCAGTATCGGTTGGAATCCATTTCCAGATAAAACTTTCTACATGCACAATACACAATAGTTCAAGTTAATTACACAATACTACTTATACAGTGTTATACAACAATACTGTTCCAGCTTGCATACAAATTTGACTGAAGGACAGACCTTGGGAACGGAACTCATTCATAAACTGGGAGGTGGGGTTAATAATGATAATTGAAATGAATCACTATTATTACTATTGTTATCTATCTTCACTCATATAGTGAAGATAGAAAGAATAATAAATGCCTTTGTTTGATAATTTCAGGATCTACTAAAGTCATTGTTTTTCATGCATTTAGTCTTCAACATTGCTAATGATAAAAGACAGTTGTATTTCCATCCCAGTTCAGAGTTCTTGCAAAATATGTGAGAAAATAGGATCAGAAAATAGGATCATGCTGACACTGTGGCTGATTGCATGCTCAAATCTGGGAATTCCAGTTTTCCCCAAGGCAGAAATGTATTATATAATATTTATGACTCAGTGAGGCTCTTTGGTCTTCATGATTTTTTAAAAGAATAATTTGCAAGCAAACCTTCAGCACATGTTGAGGTGACCGAGAATCACTGAAACATAATTAGTGGCACAACTGAATCATATACCGGTAAGTGAAAGAAATATATAGAAACTTTAAGAGAAGGAAAGAATCCGTTTTACAGAATATTAATTTAACAAAATAGTTTTCTTCTCCATTTTCCCAGTACATTGCAGTTTGCAAACTAAGGAAATAAGGGATAAATTTGCAAATAATAACTATAATAACAGGGGTGTAAGGGGCTTCTGCAGGGCAGTCAAAAAAGTCAAGATGGTTGTTGTGGCCATATAATTGAAGTCTCACCTCCTTTTACATTACATACACATTTTTAAAAAAGCAGCATTCACTCATGACCATTATCCTGACACACATTGCCACAGATGCACCAATGGATGCTATCATCTATATATTTAAACAATGAAGTATTACACTCATGTAATGTATATAGTGTAGTACATTACACTAATTTCATTGTGGTTCTGACATGTAAACATAAAATGCCAGAAGTTTATCAACCTTTAGTCTAAAATAAATATGTTCATAGTAAATAAATAAATAAATATTAAATCAAAACTTGTCATCTAGCATATTGAAAGCCAATTTAGTGTAGTAGTTAAGGCATCAGACTAGAAACCAGGAGACCATGAGTTCTAATTCCACCTTAGGTATGAAGACAGCTGGGTGACCTTGGGCAGGTCACTGTCTCTCAGCCCTAGGAAGTAGGCAATGGCAAGCCACTTCTGAAAAACCTTGCCAAGAAAACTGCAGGGACTAGTCCAGGCAGTTGCTAGCAGCCAAACAACTGCCTTGCACGCACCCACACAACCACACACACTAACACACACACGGGACTCCACTTCCATGAGTTGATTTCCGGAGC